AGCGGAATTCAGGCAACAAACTGCCGAATTCAAACCAAAAAAGCGGGGCGGCAGAAAGCGACAACATCAAAGGGAGTGTGCAAACCTACAAAGGATAATAGACATAAGTAAGGGTCAACAAGAACAAAACTGATAAGCGAACTGAAACAACTGCGCAAAAATGGGTGGAACCCAAATAAAGGAAGAAATAGTAAACAACAACAACAACAACGCAGCAGCAGCGGCACAAGCTGGCAATCCAGCAGTAGGGGACTTTGCTGAGAAAATTGAATTCGAATTTAGCAGCAGACATGTGCTATCTATTGAGATAAATACACAATAAAATTAAACGGTTAAAAGCTTTTACTTTGAAAATACAAATAATATTACACCTTAGTTATAAAGCATTTGATGCAACGTATACTCACTATTTATCAGTTCAATTAGTTTTATTTCTTCGACGACACTTCAATCTTAACATTCCGTTAGTTTGTTATAGCAAAGTTATAGCATCTTTTCGCAAAAGTGCACGTAGGTATAAAAATCGAATTTAAAACCACTAAAGCCGCCATCGATTCGCCAACACTTAGCGAGTGGCGACACGAACGAAATTCATGCCAATGTCCAGCTAAGATAGCTAACTTTGCTGTTGCTTCCACATACAAAATGTTTCGTCCAGCGAGCGGAACTCAAACATAGCGAGCAGATAAGTATTCGATTCGATACTTATATTTATAAAATATATAAGCTAATTTGCAAAGTTCGGCCAAAATACGGTTGTAAAAAAATATTTTTTATAATTTTTCTCGTAATAACATGACAATATGAAGTGTAACACTTTTGTATTACATAATTTTTCATTAGAATGATTGTTGATTGATGAACTAGTCAAATTTAACCAAGGTCAGTTAAGTATGTTAAGTATTTGTCGCAATCACACACAATTTAATCTAAAGATTTCGAATTTAAAGATAAGGGTAAAGCCTTCACTTGTGAACAAAACGGGAGTTTCTACTTGAATGTATGTAAATACTCGTTTTTATAAGTTCATACTTCGTCAATCCGATTATTTAAAACCGGTTTACTAAAGACATTAAAATTATTTAGGGGATGGTAGATGTATCGACTCTGTTTGGAGCTCTGATTTTTGGGGTTTATTTTACAGAACTAACGATATTTTTATAAAAAATTTGCCAAAAATAAAATAATCAAAAAAAAGTTGCCCGTATTGCAAAAAAAATCACTGTACCTAAACTTCATTTGCTCCTGTATGCATGCAGTAATCGTATAATTCAAATTGATTCGATTTCTTAATTAACTCAAACCTTTTTTTTTGGCTCAGTTTTTCGTGCTTGGGAATAGACTTTTTTATCAGGGAACAAAATGGAAACACGCAGCATAAGAAGGGAAATTTGTCTGCTTCACGAGGTGTATATCTATGAGGCATTCTTTTTTAAGTCTGACGGATTTCGTAAAAAAAATTTTGTCATGTCTCCGATTCGCTTCAGCTCGCTAACTTTAGTCCTGCAATTGCCACGCCCATTTCTAGGGGTTTGTCGGCTTAAAGAAAATTCTTGCCGTACAAATATTATATCTGGATAGGTATTCTATCGGAATCCGCAAAAAACCGGTGTTTAACACCTTACTAAATATATCTCAACATAAGTTTTCGAAAACAAGTTTCAAAATATTATTGGCTCTCACAAAAAAAGCCATCTCGTAACAAAAAAAACTATTTTAAAAATAGTTCTTGAAAAACGCCCAACTTTTTTAAACATGTTTTTTTTATAGAGAATTAAACAAGGAATACGATGGTATAATTTTAAATCCCTAATTTACTGGTCTTCACTATGCAAATCATGTTCAAAAAGTTCAACTGTTAATAGCTAAGTTAGCTTTGGGACAATCTTGACCACCTTATACATAAATAGAAATGCTAAGCCTGTTTCTTTAGCTTTAAAACGACGTTAAGATGAAGTCTCTTCGATGCGCAGAACTCGAGATATAACGATTTGAAGTAGTACATGATTAGTCAGAATAACGAAAAAATTCAAACATTGACAGATCATTTCTCCGAAGAAAAAAAAATAAAAATTCCTTGAACACGTGTTAGCTTATTTTATGTTAAACCCATAAAAGAAAATTTGAAGCCAATCGAAAGTGTGACACCAAATTTGGTGTCCGATATGAAAAAGAATGTCTCCTATACATTTATGTATACTACAGCATAACTTTGGACAACATGGATCGATCGCGATA